GAAACTAGTACTGTTTATACATTGATAACAATTATATATATATATATATATATATAGATATAGACCTTAAACCCTTTTAACTTCTCAATTGTGTTTACTTCTTTCATATGTTGAATCTATTTAGTAAAAGATATCTCGTGCGAGGACGAGTGTTCTGTATAAGTCACTTTAACCATTTCGAAGAAACTTATTAGTAACTGTTCTGGCGTTTAAGGCGTAAAACCATGCACATGAATCATGATGTTAATTGAAGCTTGTTTTTACTGTAGGCACCAGGCACCTGGAGATGGATGCTTGGAGTAGCAGGATTGCCAGCCCTCCTTCAGTTTATATTAATGCTTCTTCTTCCAGAATCGCCTCGTTGGCTTTATCGCAAGGTTAATACGAGTTGTTTCTACACTTCTTTTAACACTTCTAGTGTTATTTAATTGTTGTAGCAGATCGTCCGCTTATTTTGCAAATTATGCTAGTTAAATTCGATTAAACTAGTATTCCACTAATTACAATGTTTTCTTGATTAAAACAGGGAAGGCAAGAGGAAGCTAAGACAATACTAAGGAATATATATTCATCTGAACAAGTTGAGGTCGAAATTCAAGCTCTTAAAGAATCAGTAGACAATGAAATTGAAGAAAACAGAGTATCTGAAAACATCAATCTCTTCAAACTATGCCAGACGAAAACAGTTCGTCGTGGACTAATAGCTGGAGTTGGTCTTCAAGTCTTCCAACAATTTGTAGGCATAAACACTGTCATGTATTACAGTCCTACTATCATTCAGCTGGCTGGAATTGCCTCGAACCAGACAGCTCTCCTTCTATCACTTGTTACAGCGGGGCTAAACGCTTTTGGCTCCATTGTGAGCATATATTTTATAGATAGGACTGGAAGGAAGAAGCTTCTTGTAATCAGCTTGTGCGGTGTTGTGATTTCTCTGGGGTTTCTATCAGCAGTGTTCCATGAGGCTACTTCAACTTCACCAGCAGTTGGTATGGCTGAGACATCTCGCTTTGCAGCAAATTTCACTTGTCCTGCTTACCATGATGCTGCTTCTGCTAGTTCTTGGGATTGTACTAGGTGTCTTGAAGCTTCTCCTAGTTGTGGCTTCTGTGCTTCACCTCAAAATAAGGTAATAATGTCCCTAATATGCTACTTGTACTGAAAATAGATATTTATTTTTATTTGTCAAGTTTGAAAAATCAAGAAATAATTGATCTTTTGTTACCTATTTTAGCCTCAAGTACTATTCATTTTCAAAAACAAGGAACATATTATACTCCATTTCTTTCAAAAAAACATTGTCTCATTTCCTTTTTAGTCTATTTAAAAAAAAATTGTCCCCCTTTTTTTGTTTTTGACAATACTTTAATTTTAACTTTCCATATGACATGTTTAAGACTATAAGATCAAAAGATATTTTGGTACATTTGATATAATTTTAATTTAGAACCACAAAATTTAAAATTCATCTTTCTTTTCTTAAACTTCTTTCAAGTCAAACTAGGTTATTCTTTTTGAAACGAAGAGAGTAATTAAAGGTTGATGTCATTAGCTTATCAATTTATTAATTACTTTTTTAAGGGGCGTGTTAAGTGAAACATGGACATTTTCATAAACGAAATGTATATGCTAAAAATCTTTCATATTCAACACAGTGTAAAATTACACAAATTTGTTTTAATTTTTTCTTTTTGTAGTTGCTACCTGGGGCATGCCTCATGTCTAATGATATAATTAAGGATTCTTGTCATGATCAAGATAGTTTATGGTACTCAAGAGGATGCCCTAGTAGATATGGATGGCTAGCCCTACTCGGGCTAGCGTTCTACATCCTTTTCTTCTCTCCGGGAATGGGTACTGTTCCATGGATTGTTAACTCGGAGATATACCCTTTAAGATTTCGAGGGGTTTGTGGAGGAATAGCTGCAACAACAAACTGGATTTCAAACCTTATTGTTGCACAATCCTTTTTGTCATTGACACATGCCATTGGAACATCATGGACTTTCCTTGTATTTGGAGTCATCTCTGTTGTAGCCTTGCTTTTTGTCCTGATTTGTGTTCCAGAAACTAAGGGGCTTCCTATTGAAGAAATTGAGAAGATTTTGGAGAGAAGAGGTTTACATATGATGTTTTGGAAGAAAAGGGCTAATGAGAAGAATGGTGGAGAAAATGATACCAATAAAGAAGGGGATGGAGATGTATGAAGATTGAAGATATGTTAAAATAAACATAGATAACTTTGATTTGAACTGAGAATCCTTTAATTAGTTTACAGTGTTTGATAGGATTTTCAAATTATTGAAGATAAATAATTAATATGATATAGATTATTAGATCAAGATGGATAATTGATAAGAACTTTTTTCAAGGAAACTTATTTTGTTCAAGAATAACTTCTTCCTCAATCTTCCCTTCTCTTTATTCATACTTTTTGGATTTTTCATGCTCATTCCCAAATTTGGACTCACTACTAAAAAACTGCCAAAAATTAACGGCCAAAAGTGACGAACTGCGTCGTTTTTTGGTCAAAATCGATGGAGAAGTGATGCGGTCATGTTTGTCGCTTTTCAAAATGCGATGGACTGCGTCGCTTTATAATTTTTTTAAATAAAAGCGACACTCCGTTGCTTCTTTTAATTGAATTTTCTAAAGGCGATATAGTCCATCACTTTTCTGGTTATTTAATATTTGAAAATCCCAGAATAGCGACAGATTAAAGGACCCTGTCCGTCGCTTTTCTGGAAATTATTTTTGTGAGAAATCCAGAAGAGCGACGGACTAAAGGACATTGCTCGTCTCTTTTTTGGGTTTTAAAAAAATAAAACCCAGAAAAGCGACGAACAAAATCACCATGTCCGTCGCTTTTTTTGTCATTTTTTTAAAGTAGAGTTTCTGCTGCCCATCTCCGGAAGTAATTCACTTCAATTCAGCCCAATCAAACACAAAATTATAAACAAGCTACACAAAACATTAAACAACAAAGTTAAATTAACATTCAAAAGTATCTAAATCACAATTTAAAGACTTATAAAGTCTTTTACAATTCATTTAAAAATTTCAAAAAGTTCATAAATTAAAAGAGACCTAAACTAGGGAGTGACATCTACAAAATCCTCCTCCTCCTCACTGTTGTCATCGGTCTCCTCAAAAGCCAAAATAGTAGGTTGACGAGCGAGGTTCAACACTTGTTCTTTGATTTGCTGAATGGTCTCATTCATGCTTTGTTGTTCAGCTACTCTTCTCTACTTCGACTCTGCCAATGCTGATATATGTTGTGCTATGTGAGCTGAGATAACAACAATTTGAACACCTTTAAGTGCCTCGGCTTGATGTGATGATCCAATATCTCGTAAGCTTGACTGGAGTCGTTTTACATCATTTCAAGAGCCTAGACCATATACTCTACCTTTGTGTATCACCCTACAACTTTTTTTGTCCAAATTTGGGTGGACAATTTCAAGTGTCATTTGGACCGAACTTTCTAGATTCTCAGCGACGTACTGATGAAACACGTTTTGCATATTCAATATAAAAATTGACATCAATATATATGTATCATAAATATATTCACTATTAATATATATTATTCATATAATTGTCATACAAAATTTTGTTTCGTCCTTTCCTTCACCCAGACATTCGGATCCGACTCATTTTCTTTCTTCCTGACATGAGTCTTCTTGAAAACTGCCGGTCCAATGGGAGTGTGCCCTAATTGTTTTTCTTATATATAAAATTTGAATTTCATAATGATATTTATGAATCAACTAATTATTTATTTTCAAGTTTGAATTAAAACTTTGCATCTCTGTTGCAATTGTTCGAACGATCTTTGTACCTCCGACATGCAGCGAGCCACCTTTTTTGGATTGTCCTAACATTACCTTAAACTTATATGTGTTCCAATACAGACACAAGTCATCTAAAATATGAGGCACCATCCAATCCAGACGTTGATCAATATCCCAAACTTTCTTTAGCAAGCTAGACAGTCTGGCGGATGCCCTCCTCTCAAATGTGGTCATAATGATCAAATTGTACCTCGACTCTCAAGTACACAGTGTGAAAAGAAATTGAATAGCGTTAATTATATTGATAGTAAAAAAAAAGTAAAGTATACTAAACTTAACAAAAAAATATATACCTCAAATTCATTAAACATCACATGACATATACTGGTTGGAATCTCATTCCAAGAGTGGTAAGCATGTGTATAAAGTCTTCTAACACAGTCTTTTAAAGCCCGAGCAACATTCTTTACATGTTGCCACCTGCAAAACACACAATAAATATGTTATTTCATGGATAATATATTAAAGTATAAAAAGTAACAAAATAAAATAACAAATAGATAACAAAACAAACTTACGATGATCCATCCGGATCAATCATGACTCTACCAAGTCTCCTCTCAAATATTTCTCTCTCTAGAAAACCCCATTGAAGAAGAAGCTAGGGCTTGAAGTTAAGGTCAAGAATAAATGCTCCGTTGCTAAAGGCTTGTGCTAGAGCATTGATTAAGGTATATTTAGCTTTTCATCTATGGGTCCTTCCAACCTAGAGCCCCCTTAATAATTCCCCAATTGTGGATCAAACACCCAATTCTAACTAGGGTTCTTCTTACATTGAGGGTAGGGTGTGGGTATTGATTCCAATCTAGTGTATAAAACCTAATAATGAATGATTTAGATTTTTAGTGATATTATGATGAATTCCTAAGATTTATATGGTAAACCCTAGTCTAAATCAATGAATACGATATTTGTGGGTTGATACCATTAGAGGTGAAATTGAACGTTCATGAGTGACCTTCTTGAATCAATGTCAATAATAATAGTTTAAGTTTAGGAAGACATAATAATGAATTGAGTTTAGCCTAATTGAATATGATTGATCTTGACATGTAAAGGTGAATTGGAACCTTTATGGTAAATTGCAACTAGAATCACGTAATAATGAAAAATGTGATAAAAATACCTTGAAATCTAGGTATAAAAAAGAGATTTAAAAAGAAACCTTAAAGTAAGGTTGGTGATCATGATAGCTAGGGATTTAAGGTAAATTTAATTTTAATAATTATTGATGTAAGGCTTTGAGAGTAAAGTCTAAAAGAGAATAGAAGTCTAATTGGTTGAATTGCGGTGAAAGACCTATACTTACCAAACCTTACCTATATATTCTTGTTAGATGAAAGTGATTGAATTACTTGAGCATGGATTGATTGTCATGGACATACTTCCATGATAGATGAGTGTTAATCAAGGCTTAGCAAGTAAATATTGGTTGTATGTCTGGTTCCAAGTGGATATTGACAATGATATGGAGTGTCACACAAAAGAGGGTTCGGGCTCCAAATAGAAAGGAGAAATGCACCTAGTTGATGTGAGGACTATCCAAGTAAAAGGGGAATTGTTAGATAGTAGAGTTAAGGTTATACCAAAGTTAGTTCTAAGGAGATGGGATCCTTCACATTGTTGAGTCAAGTTTTTTAATAACAATCTCCATATATAATGAACTTAGACATTCTTGAGAAGCATCTCATAAGATTCAAATCATAATGAACTAAGACTTACATAATGAAGTAACTCATAGTGTTCAAGAAGGTAAATGGACTTAGAAATGCTTAAGATAATATCTCCTAGGGTCCATGGGAAGAATGAACTTAGACATACTAGAAGTAGTATCTCATAAGGTTTAAGCTATAATGAACTAAGATGTGCTTAAGGGAGTACCTCATAGTGTTCTAAAGATAAAGAGAGGAACTAGGTTCCAAACAAAGAAGTATTAGTAAGAAGACCTAAAAGTGGTACTTAGCTTGATTAGTATTATGGGATTCTAAGATTACATTGCATAAGTATGACTTAGGGTTACTAAAGAGAATGAGTTTACATAGTATGGTGCCATAGTTGCCTTCCTTGATATAGTTGACTAAAGTGGAGATATTCCCTTAATTATGAGAGTTAATCTAATAATGAGGTCAAGGGAGGGAGAATATGACTAAGAGGATTTCTAGGTTATGCTTAGTGTGAAGGATAGTATGGGATGCCTTTCATGCATTGCACAAATGTGCTTTGAGGTTACCTAGAAGTATGGCGCCATTATGGTAGAAAATCTTAAAGATTTAGACCATGTATATGAAAAATTATTAACAAATGACCAAGAAGGGGTACATGGATTGGATGGTATTATGGGATGCTATTCTTGCTTTGTATGTACATGCTTTTGAGGTTACTTTAGAATGGTGCTATTATGGAATGGATGACTAATACTCAATTATGCTTATATGATGCTTATGATGATGAATTGGCTTATTATGATTATGATGTATCTCATATGCTCATTAAATATGTCTTATGTTGACTTATGATTATAAGATGCTTGTGTTAAATAATATGCTTATGACTATGTTGTTATATCTTTTGCTTATGTATTTTGTTGACTAACCATTTTGAGATGCTCTTATGATGTTGTGCTAGATTTCATACTTGGTAAATTTTGTACTAACACATATTGCCTACATTCTAATCAAATGTAAGGTTTCAAAATTCAGTTTTCTTTGGACGATATTTTTCTAGAAGTTGCAAAAAGAGTTGAAGAATTGGTGAGTAGCTTAGAGGACGAACCCATTACTTTAATTATGTCATTTATTATGTTTTATACTTTGTATTGGCTGTATCCCAAGAGTTTTTTATTTCAAGAGTCTAACAGATGGTGTGAGACAAAGTTAGAAAAGACTCCCATTGGCTTTATGAAAATGTTTTCGTTGTATGGTTTAAAATATTTTAAATTTCCCCTACTTTTCTAGTATCTTATATCATTATTATTCTAAGGGTTGTATGAGACCCCTTCGGGGTCTAGTAGGTCATGTTACATCTAGGCGATATCCCTAGGTCATGACAAACTTGGTAATAGAGCACAAGGTTTAGAATGATTCTAGGATTGTCGCAAACCACGTCTAGTAGAGTATTGTTCATAAATGTGAAGAGCACCACATTTATGAATAGGAGGTTATTGATGTTTAAGAAATCTCACTTATTCATTCTCTAAATCGTGCCACAGAAGTTTAGTTCTAGTAGATCCTTCTTCTAATGTATGCCCTATTAGATTTCAGGTTATGGCAAATACTAGGACTAATTCTAGGAGGGATGAGGAACACAATATAGAGACATATGTTACTCTCCAAATTCCAAACCAAGCTCCTCCTCAAGCTCCAAATGACCCTCCAGTGGAGAATGTCACTCTTGCGGAGTTTAGGGCCTATATGCAATTGTTGGCTCAATCCTTGACGGCGCAAGTCAATATGGATGTTGTGGCTCCGGCAAATGGCTCCAAGGTGGAGAAAGATCCTCAAGGTCTGATAGATGAGATGTATAAGGCGCTTGCTATCGTAGGATTGATTTCGGTA